GCAATCTTGAGTGCACATGCACCAAACAACAGCTGCAAAATATGTGATGCAACAACTCACAGAAACTGACAAGAGAAACAGACACAGTCACAGTTACAGCCCGAGACTTCAGTATGTGTAGAGCGATGATAGGAAATCAGCAGGACACTGATGAATTTCACACCCCCACCAAGTCATAGGATCTCATCAACTTTTTGGCAACACCACCCAGACATAGGAGATGACACATTGTTTTGAAGAACACATGCCAGGACAGATCATATTCTGGGTCATAAAACTCCCCTTAACAAATTTAGAAGAATGGAATCATAGACTGTGTTCACTGACCACAATGGAATCCAACTACAAATCAAAAACAGAAAGCTAACAGGAAAATCTCCGAACACTTGGACACTATAAACAACTTACCTTCCGATAATCCACAGGTCAAAGAGGAAGACTCAAGGGAAATACACAGGCTGAAAGAAAATGAAAATACAACACGTCATAATCTATGAGGTGTAACTAAAGCAGCACTGAGAAGGAAACTGGTAGTACTCAATGTTTACACTAGAAAAAGGGGAAAATAATCCACGAATAATCTAAATTGCAGTTAAGAAATCAGAGCAGAAAAAAATAAACACAAACCAAGCAGAAGGAAGGAAATAATAAAGGCAAGAACAAAAATAAGTAAAATTGAAAACAGGAAAACAACAGAGAAATAAAGAGCTGGCTCACTAAAAAAAAAAAAAAAAAAAAAATCAATAAAATCCACAATTCACTAGCAAAGCTACCAAAGAAAATAAAACACAAATTTCTTGGAACAAATTAAACAGGGAATATTACCCCAGAGCCTGCAGACATCAAAAGGATAGTAAGGGACAAATACAAAACTCTACACACATATACTTGAAAACTTAGCTGAAATGTAACAATTACTCCGCACATACACCCGACCACAAATCACCCATGCGAAATAGGTAATAGGAATACTTTGAATTGCAAAGCAAATGTGTAATCTCAGAATACCCTCCCCAAAAATAAACCTGCAGGGGCGCCTGGGTGGCTCAGTGGGTTAAGCCTCTGCCTTCAGTTCAGGTCATGGTCTTGGGGTCCTGGGATCGAGGCTCGCATCGGCTCTCTGCTCAGTGGGGAGCCTGCCTCCCCCTCTCTCTCTGCCTGACTCTCTGCCTACTTGTGATCTCTCTCTGTCAAATAAATAAATAAAAAAGAAATTGCTGCATTACAGGGATTAAAAAAATAATAATAAAATAAACCTGCAGGCACAGTGAGTGGCAAGAGTTTAGTTAATATTGCTGCCTCATTACCCATTTTGTGGGCCAGGTGGCCTGTAGGGACCTTGAACTGACACTAGCTCCTCCCTTGAGCACATGCCCTAGATAACAGCCCACAGAGTCACCGGCAATCGTTGGTTCCAGATACAACTCTTCCAACCATCCCTATGATAACCATTCTCCCGCACCTCCTAGGGACTTCCCTTTGGCCCCTTTAGATAAGACCCCTCCCCACCCCCAAAAGCTTACCAAAACCCTGCTGTGTTTGGTTTGAATTGGCCAATGTGGTCTTACCCCAGAACCCCAAAGCATTCCACTGAGGGACACCAATAAAGGCATGTGGCCTAGGTCCTGGCCTAAGGTCGCTTCCTGTGCGCTGCCATAACCTCCTCACATGACCCCTAGAGGTGTACAGAATAGCTCCCCCAGATCTGTGAGTAGCAAACTTACTCACTTCACTTTCCCTTATAATCTGTTACCGAACCATGGCTGACCGTCTCACATCGAGGGCTCTACTAAACAAATATTAATACAACCAAGTCACAACAGCAACACTATACACAATTCTATCAAACTTACAAATAATCAACAAATGTGACACAATTTCTTTCAGAAAATAGAAGGGAAGGCAATACTTTTCCCAACTAAATTTACGAGGCCGGTATTAGCATGATACCAAAACTACACAAAAACATTAAGGGGGAACAAAAGATAACTACCAACTAAATCCCAAATGAAGATGCAGAAATTCTTAGCAAAACATTAGCCATAGAAATCAACAATACAGAGGATTGTACACCATGACCAAACGGGTTTGAGGGACAGGGGGCAGTTTCAAATTCCAGGCAGTGTAATCCACCATGTTTGTTAACAGGCTGGAGAAGAAAAATCACAGATCCTGTCAACTGATACAGCAAAAGCATTTGACAAAATTCAATATCCATTGACAATATAAACTTTCAGAAAACTAGGAACAGATGGACATTTCCTCCACTCAGTAAAGAACTCCTACAAAAAACTTACAGCACACATCATACTTCATGGTGAAAGACGGAAGGCTTTGCCCCGCAGAGACTGGGAACAAGGCAAGGATGGCTACTCTCACCATCGATATTTGACGTGTTACTAGAAGTTCAAGCCAGTGAAGCAAGGGAAGAGGAATAAACAAAAGTGATGGGAAAAGGAGGATAAAATATTGTGCCCATTTGCAGAAGCCATCATGGTTGTGGTAGGCTGAAAATCACCCCCACCCCAAAGGATGGGCGTGTCCTCATGCCTGTAACGTGGGAGGGTAACTGTAAACATCGCAAGGGAGATGCAGGTGTGCTCTGGTGAAGATCGTGGGATGGGAGATTATCCGGGATGGTCTGGTACCCGCAGAATGGTCCCGAGGGTCCGTATAAGAAGGATGCAGGTAGAGTTAGCCTCGTAGAAGTCGTTGAAGTGACGGAAGCCAAGAGGCAGAGCTGAACGCGCCCTCAGATGCCAGCTGCCGGCTTCTGAAGATGGAGGAAGGGGACCAAGAGGCAGAGGATGTCAGCAGCCCCCGGATGTGGGAAGGTAAGGGCAGAAATTCTGACCTGCAATATCTAGAAGGAGCACAGTGCTCTGGTTCCGTGATGTAGAACGGGCCTCCGGAACTGTAAGAGAATAAACTTGTCAGCTTAAGTCGTTCAGGTGATGGTAATTTGTCACAACATCAACAGGAACATGTCTGAAGTTGGATACGTAGAAAATCCAAAGGAATGTACAAAAATGTGTAGAAAAAGTAAAATTTGCAAGGTGTTGAAATACGAAAGCATGCAAAAATCTTTGCATTTCTGTATACTAGCAGTTTAGACCTGGAAACTGAAATAAAAAATACAGTAGTACATGCAGAATTGCTCAAGAAGGAAAAAGTAGAATACAAAGAGATGTTCCAGGGCAGGGTCCCCTGGATCTGAGAGATACCGGTCACTGGGAAACGGCAGAGGGACCCAGGGCATTTGGTAATGCGGATTATCCCCTTGTCAGAAACTATAGTTGGAATCTCAGTGACTATCTTACACCATTATATTTTCATTTACTTCACCGTGTGCTTGTTTACCTCCACACACTTGATTTTCAAGCACCTGACCACGGCCAACCCTCAGTAAGAGATTTCACTTAACCATCTGGCCTTTCAAGTTATTTAGGACCTGAAAGAACTCTTCATATATTGTACCCACTTTCTACCTGTCACTGCCTTATGTTCATTTTCGTGTCACAAAAGTCGCAAAGCAACCCACTGATTTGTGTACCCCTTGGTGCAAAATGGGAAAAATGTAAACTAAACATATAATCTGGGTCACAATGTGTGGAAGGAAAAATTGTATTTTTAAAAATGGGGGGAGGGCACCTGGGTAGCTCACTCATTTAAGGTCTGCCTTAGGCTCAGGTCACAATCCCCTGGGATCAAGCCCCACAGAAGGCTCCTTGCTCAGTGGGAAACCTTTTCCCTCTCCCTCTGCCTGCTGTCCCCCCTGTTTTTTCTGTCAAATAAATAAAATCTAAAAACACATTTTACTACAATTGAAAAGGGATCATGTAAAATATTACTTAAGACCCTAATTCAAAGTTGAACTTTTAAAATCATTTGGAAAATTACTTCTAGTAATATTTATTATCTAATAAACATTTCCAAACAACTTGCATTAAACCTATGTAAAAATACCTTAAGGCGATTTATCTAAATAGTATTTTATAAGCATTTTCAACAACCGTATCATATAATGGAACCTATGTGTAAAGGAGGAAAGGGAATGTAATAAATTATTAGCATGAAGAAAATCTTGTCTTTCCCAACAAAGAAATCAGGAATTTCAAGAGTAAATATTCAGTATTTTACTATGATGGTTGACTACGGACACTTTTTTGTTTTTAAGATTTAATTTGAGAGAAACAGCACAAGCGGGGAAGATCAGAGGGAGAAGCAGCCTCCCCACTGAGCAGGGAGCCCGACGTCGGACTCGATCCCGGGATTCCAGAATCATGACCTGAGCCGAAGGCGGTTGCTCAACCAACTGAGCCACCCAGGCACCCCGACTACTGACACTTTTAAGGCTCACTACACCCTCTCTTCTGCCCATTTGGGCAAGGTGATAAAAAAGCCTGGGTGCTCCCTCCTTTGATGCCAGCTGGAAGGTCAAACCACAGCAGGCACCTTCGTCCCATCCCCACCCCACCCAGTAACCACCGTTGATACACCAAACCGGTCACCGTTTCCTGTTCTCCCAAGTCATTCTTGGATCACCTTGGCAGTCTACTGTGCCTGTCCTAGAAATCTTCATCAGGTAACACATGTTCTCATAACGCTTTTAGCGCACAGCATCACTAGTCTTGATAGCCAAAGCCAGCTTTGGTTAGGGTTCCACCTGTTCCACTGGGTGGCCACAAGTGCAAATCAACAAGAAGTGTACTGGGGGGTGTATATATGAAATTTCTAGCTTATCTATCAAGCAATTAATTCTTTGGCGGACTGTGATGTTAGACCATTAGTCTAAAGGCCTTACCACATTTAGTACATTTGTATGGTTTCTTTCCAGTATGACTTCTCTCATGATGCCTAAGGTGTGAAGCCTTGATAAAAGCCTTGCCACACTCATTACATTTATGACGTTTCTCTCCAGTACGGATCACCTGATGGCTTATCAGGTTTGAACGCACAACGAAAGCTTTGCTGCACACATTACATTGTATGGCAATGACTCAGTATGACTTTTCTGATGGTCAACCAGGCTTGAACTCCGGGTAAAAGCTTTACCACACCCATTACATTTGTGTGGTCTCTCTCCACTATGAATTCTGTGATGTTTTACAAGCTTCAAACTTTGGCAAAAACCCTTGCTGCGTTCATTACATCGGTAAGGTTTCTCTCCATTATGGTTTACCTGATGGTCTGTCAGGCTTGAGCGCACACTAAAGGCTTTGCCACACTCATTACATTTGTAAGGTTTTTCTCTGGTATGGATTCTCTGATGACTTGCTAGGTGTGAATTTTGACTGAAGACTTTCCCACATACATTACATTTATACGGTTTCTCTCCTGTATGGATTATCTGATGTCTAGTGAGGTGTGAGCCCTGATTAAAGGTTTTGCCACAGTCATGACATCTGTAAGGTTTCTCCCTCTGTGCTTTCTGCTCTTGTGCCAGTGTCGAAAGGTAAATAAAATCTCTCCCACGTTTATTAGCAATGACGGTTTCGACCACAGGAGGAATTCTGAGGTGGAAGAGCTGAGGAACCATTGGGGATGGCCTTCTCAACTTCGTTACATTCAAATTTTTCCCTTCAGAGTGAAACATGTGTAGTTCACCCCAAAAACTTAATGCAAGCCTACTTATAACATGCTTGTTTCCTGCATCACTTTTACCATGCTGATCTCTTCTATCCGTGAGACTGTGTTTATGGGTCACAGACATTTCTTTGTAATTTATGCTCTCATCTCTCCACTGCCACTTAAAGTCAAGCATATTTTCCTGGATTTCCGTGAAGTAAAAATCTTTGATTTCATGGCCTTCATGCCTTTCCAACATCACTGTTTGGAATAATTCTCCTGTATTATTGTTCTCCTTTAATTGTAATTTCTTGATCACATGTGTAGGAGAGACATCTATAATATATAAAGAGCCATAGGTGTCCTATTAATTACAGCTCACAAATAAATGTTACGTGTTAAAAACACAGTATTACAACAAAAGTAATACTTCTACTGAACAGTTATAAAACTTCCCACGATCTTCAAAATTTTAGGAAGACTAAAGGAACATAATTTTTTTTTTTTTGCTAAAGAAAGAGTGCTCAACTGTAATACAAATTAATTTTAGGACAGCCTAGTTTCAAACACCCAATGACAAAAACACTCATGCCGTACGTACGAAATTACATTAGCTCTCAAAGAAAGGGTATTTTTCTTTCTTTTTTAATTCCACTGTAGTTAACATACAGTGCTATACAGTTTCGGTGTACAATACGGTGACTCAACCATCCCATTCACCACCCCGTGCTCATCACATGTGCCCTCCTTAATCCTCGTCACCTGTTAAACCCAGCGTCCCCTCAACGCCCCTCTGGTAACCATCAGTTTGTTCTCTATAGTTAAGAGTCTGTTTCTTGTCTGTCTCTTTTCCTCTTCTTTCCCCCTTTGCTTGTTTGCCTTGTTTCTTAAATTCCGCATATGAGTGAAATCATATGGTATTTGTCTTTCTCTGACAGACTGATTTCATTTAGCATCATATTCTCCAGCTCCATCCATGCTGTTGCAAATGGCAAGACTTCATTCTTTTTGTGGCTGAACAGTATTCCGCTATATGTATATCTTCTTCATCCATTCATCTATCGACGGACACGTGGGCCACTGCCATAATTTGGCTATTGTAAATAATGCTGCTATCAACATAGGGCTACAGGTATCCCTTTGAATTAGTGTTTTGTAATTTTTGGATAAACATCCAGTAATGTAATTGATGGATCTTAGTAACTCTATTTTTAACTTTTTGAGGAACCTCCATATGCTTTCCCAGAGTGGCTGCACCAGAGCACATTCCCGCCAACAGTGCAAGAAGGTTCGTTTTTCTCCACATCCTCACCACCACTTGCTGTAAGATAGTGTATTTTTCCACCATGACCCCAAAGCACATACTGGTTGGCAGTAAATATATGTCTCATAACTGAGAAAAAAATATTATATATAATTTTCCATATACTTGTATACCAATAAATGCTGAAGAACACATAGCATATTACAATGGTAAGTAATCTAAGACAAGCTCATCTAATGAATAAGCTAAACAAATGGCAATCCAGAATTGCAAACAAATACAGCATTGAGAAAATGAAGAATTTTTTTTTAAGATTTATTTATTTGAGAAAGAACACAGAGGGAGAGCGAAAGGGAGAAGGAGACTCCCTACTAAGCAGAGAGCCTGATGACAGCTTGATCCCTGAGATCATGACGATCATGACCTGACCTCAAGGCAGACACTTAACCTACTGAGCCAGCCAGGTGCCCCAGAAAATGAAAAATTTAATAAAACAATGTTTACAAAATGAAATTTTATAAATAGTTGTTATAAAACTATCTGTACCCATGAAATATAGGCATTTTACAACATTAACCAGTGGCATATGTCAGTTATAGTGCATAAAACATCTGTAAATCACAATAAAAATAAATAAAATATTCTAGTAACCCTTGATAAAACTAGCAATAAATAGTAAGTAACCATATTATAGAAAATTATAGTCTATGGAGCTTTAAATATTTCCCCTCGAGAATGAAAAAAACAAAACAAAAACAGGGCGCCTGGGTGGCTCAGTTGGTTAAGCATCCGACTCTTGGTTTCAGTTCAGGTCATGATCTCAGGTTGTGGATCGAGCCCTGCATCAGGCTCCATGCTCAGTGCAGAGTCTGCTTACGAATCTCTCCCTTTCCCTGTGCCACTCCCCCACTCATGTGTTCTCTCTCTCTAAAATAAATAAATAAAGCAATTTAAAAAAAAAGAAAGATTTATTCTAGAAAGAGCCACAATATTAAAACTGGAAAATATGTTGAGGTCACTGACTTCTAAAATACCAGGTGAGAAAAATACATTATACAGGGATTGGAGATAGAAGTCAGAAGTCACAATTACGATTTCCTGCATGCGGTTATGTAACAGACAAGCAACAGAGCAATCTCCTACCTATGCAGCGCCCTCTAGTTATCCAGTTCATTGTCCCCAAATATATGTAGCTCGGAGTGTATTCTTTTTTTTTTTTTAATTTATTGAGATCAAAGACAAAACTGTTGAGAACTGCAAAATGAAAACATACAGAATATAATGCAAAGGGGTAGCTCATAATAAACATGACAAAGTTGTTATCTTCTATTAAACAGAAGTAACTTTGGAGTGTACTAAAAAACATGCAATATTCCGTACCATCTAACAGCACTAATTTGTATTTTCTAAAAGATTTTGTTTATCTTGAGAGAGCGTGCACCAGAGAGAGCTGGGGGAGAGGCAGTGGGAGAGGGAGAATCACAAGCAGCCTCCCTGCTGAGCATGGGGTCCAACGTGGGGCTTGTGAGGTCATGACCTGAGCTGAAAGCAAGAGTCAGATGCTTAACCGACTGCGCCACCAAAGACTGAGTAATATATGGACGAGGAGAAAAACTTCCTCCAAGAGCTGACAAGAAGCCTTTGTTTTCCCACGGAACTCTCCTAGTGCGGAGTTTCTCAGACACTATTAATGCTGCGGCCTCTGCTCTGCCCTTCTGCGTTCCCACTTGTCACACGTTCCCACCTGTTTGGTTTTACGCTATTTTCTCTCGGCCCTCCACAGTCTAGGGCTCTTTCCCTTGTTCCAAAAAGGACATAATATTCAGGTCAGAAACAGAAATTCCTGTTTATAAGAAGAAAAGAACATGAACATGAGGTGCTATGGCTTTTCCAGAATCCCAGCTCTTTGTTTAGCTGAGAGAGGATATCACAGATGGATCTAAAACAAATGCTTCACAAAGTCCTCCACTGCTTGCCTCCTACGTGCGTAGGAAACAGTGTAACATGCAGATGTATAGCTATCTTCCAAAACTGAGTCAAAAGCACAGGGGAAGAAAACAGGAAACTGGAGATTTTAAAAGTTTGCCATCTGGTTTTATGCACTCTTAAACTCTAGAACAACCCCTAAAGAAAGAGAAAAGTAGAAATCCAGATGCCACATTATGAGGCTTTTCATTTCTGAGTCAACAGCGCTTCAATCTCAGTCAAGCAGGGGAGGGCATCCCAAAAGACAAGCAAGGAAAAATGCAAAAATACCCAAGGGTAGACCCCCCCACTTCTGGAGGGACATTTTCCTCACCCAGGGAGACCAGGTTCCAGTAGTTCTCCACCATCACGTCCCTGTACAAGGCCCTCTGGGCAGGGTCCAGGCACTCCCACTCCTCCTGAGAGAAGTCGATGGCCACATCCCTGAAGGTCAGGTGTCCCTTAAATGAAAACACATCTCACCTAAAGGCCATGGGAAAGCTCTTCACACAAAATGAGAAGAGAAAAGTCTAAGTAACAATCTGATAAAGTGAGTGTTCAACAGATCCATGCTAAGGTATTCTGAGCAATTTATGTGTCTCTAATTTTAATTTCTTATGCATTCCAAGAGAGTATGATGCCCTCCAAGTAAGTGTGGATTTCTCATTTCTGTGGACAACACATGACATGAAGCATACACATAAAAAGTCAGTACTGCGTTGTCTTTACAAAGTGTTACATATTATGCTCCAGATGCTGAGTGCTATCTAGATGAGCGAGAACATGACTGCTATCTTCAGATGACAAAATCCACAGTGGCTTTAAAGAGAAGTCAGAATCTAAAAACCGTGTTGAGGATAACAATGGCAATAACTTAGAAATTTGTTGGTTTTTTTTTAAGATTTTATTTATTTGACAGAGAGAGTGATCACAAGCAGAGGGAGCAGCAGGCAGAGGGAGAGGGAGAAGCAGACTCCCAACTGAGCAGGGAGCCGGATCGGGGCTCCAACCCAGGATCCTGGGATCATGACCTGAGTCACCCAGATACCCCTAAATGTTACTATCCTTACTATTATCCTGCTATTTAAATCATGAACCTGACAATGTAGAAATAACTGAAGGCCATGGCATATATTTAAGATATAATTTCTACTGCTAAAAAACATGAAACTTATTTACGAAATGATGTCTTTTATAAAAACCATGGACTTTCACAACCATGCATGTGTGTGCACACATATAAACAACACAAATTAACCAAAATGAGAAGAGTTCCTTCTCAACATTATTTTGAATGATTTTTTTAAATTTTCATTCACATGTATTTCAGCATGTTTGAGAAAATGAAAATGTATAAACTACTTAATTCAGTTTGTCAATATGACTGTATAGTTTGTCAATATGACTGTATAGTAGGCTAGTAAAGAGATGGTACAAACATGGAAAAAAATATAGAATACTTTAACTCCAGTCTCTATAAAATACCTGAATTCAAAAATATAAACACAATTTTACCATTTAAATGTAGATGCATAAGCATTAACAAAATCAAATAGTTTGTTTATTCCACTAATAAAGCAAGAGTTGAAGATTAGAAGAGTCACTGGCATTAAACACTAACTGAACAGATTAATGTTTTTTAAAATTTTTTAATTTTTTTAAAGATTTTTATGTATTCGACAGAGAGATCACAAGTAGGCAAAGAGGCAGGCAGTAGTGGGGGGCGGGAAGCAGGCTCCCTGCTGAGCAGAGAGCCCGATGCGATGCGGGGCTTGATCCCAGGACCCTGAGATCATGACCTGAGCCGAAGGCAGAGGCTTAACCCACTGAGCCACCCAGGCGCCCCTGAACAGATTACGATTAAAAACATGTATCACAGTAATAGACGCTTGAAAAAAATGACAAAAAGGAAGTTGGGGAAAAACCATTATTATTAAGCAAGAACATTTCACCAAATGTTATGACCCAGTCAAAAACACTGTATACATTTCCTCTGACATTCTGGTGGAGGACAGAGGCTGGCTGGGGCTCCTGCCGTTCACCAGCCTACAGCGGGCCTGAGCAGGGACCAGATTCATCTGGCTAAAGGAGGAAAAAACAGTGAGAGAGAAAGTCAAAGAGCTGGAACTGTTGAAATTCACAGATCTAAGGACAGAAATAGGCTAAAAATGAAAGAGAGATAAAGATATTCCACACTAGGGGCGCCTGGGTGGCTCAGTGGGTTAAAGCCTCTGCCTTCGGCTCAGGTCATGATCCCAAGGTCCTGGGATTGAGCCCCGCATCCGGCTCTCTGCTCAGTGGGGAGCCTGCTTCCCCCTCTCTCTGCCTGCCTCTCTGCATACTTGTGATCTCTGTCTGTGAAATAAATAGATAAAATCTTTAAAAAAAAAAAAAAGATATTCCACGCGAATGGGATCCTAAAGAGAGCAGGGGTGGCTATATCAGACAAAACAGACTATGAGACAAAAAAACTGCCACAAGAGACAAAAGACATTATAACAATAAGAGGGTCAATTCACCAGGAAGATGCAATAATTAGAAACACATAGGTGCATAACATTAGAGCCTTCAATATATATGAAGTAAATACTAACAGCAGACTCCAGTACCCAGTTTCAGAAGATCTAGAAGGTAACAGAGGACCTGAACAGCACCGTTACCAAATGCAGGACCCACTAGAGAGACAGAACACTCCACCCAGCAAGGGCAGAACATGGTCTTCTAAAGCACACACGGAACATTCTCCACGACAGACCACATGTCATGCCACAAAACAAACCTTAACAAGTTTAGCAAGACTGAAACCATAAAAAGCATCTTCTCTAACCACAGTAAATTGAAACTAGAAACAAATAGCAAAAAGGAAATAGAAAAATCCACCAAATGTGGACATTGAAACAATTCATTCTTAAGCAATGGGTCAAGGAAGAAACCACAAGGAATTTTTAAAGCTTCAGATGAAAATGAAAATGTAACTTACCCAAAAGTAGGGATGTGGTGAAAGCAGCACTGAGAGGAGTGTCTACATGGTGAATATTTACATTAGCAAGCGGAAAGATCTCAAATCAGAAATCTAATTTTACACTTCAAGGAAGCAGAAAAAGAATAATCTGAACCCAATTTAGCAGAGTACGGCAGAGGCAAATCAAAGAGGATAAAAAACACAAAAATTGGCAAACCAGGAGTTGAGTTTTTGAAAAGATTAACAAACTGACAAACCCTTGGCTAGATCAATTTAAAACAACAACAACAACAGAGGCGCCTGGGCGGCACAGTCAGCTAGGCCTCTGATCTTGGTTTCCGCTCAGGTCCCAATCTCAGGGTGGTGAGACTGAGCCCCACGTGGGCTCTACGCTCAGCACAAGGTCTGCTTAAGAATCCCTCCCCTCTCCTTCTACTCCTCCCTTCCCATGCTCTCTTTCTCCCTCTCCCAAATAAATAAATCTTAAAAAAAAAAAAAGAAATGAAAGAGGGGACATTACAACTAATGACACAAAGTTTTAGAAAGGACTCTAAGAGGGTGCTAGGAACAATTCCATGCCAACCATGCATAACCTGGAAGACAAGGATAAATTTGGGGAGACATACAACCTACCAAGACCTAATCATGAAGAAGTGACAAATGTGAACAGAATTGTACCTACAGAGGACATGCAGGCAGGAATCAAAAATCTCCAACATAGAAAAGCCCAGGACCAGATGGCTTCAAAGAATTCTACCAAACGGGGCGCCTGGGTGGCTCAGTGGGTTAAGCTGCTGCCTTCGGCTCAGGTCATGATCTCAGGGTCCTGGGATCAAGTCCCGCATCGGACTCTCTGCTCAGCAGGGAGCCTGCTTCCTCCTCTCTCTCTCTCTCTCTCTGCCTGCCTCTCTGTCTACTTGTGATCTCTCTCCGTCAAATCAGTAAATAAAATCTTTAAAAAAAAAAAAAAAGAATTCTACCAAACATTTCCAGGAAAATTAACACATAGCCTGCCAAAAATCATCCAAAGGATTGACGATGGAACACTTGCAAACTCATTCTATAAAATCTGCATGATTCTGATATGAGTCCTAGATAAACACACAGGAATGAAAGAAAACTACAGATCAATATCCCTAATCAATACTTAATCATGTGGTGCATAAACAATGACTTCTGGAACGTTGAGAAGAAATTTTAAAAAATAAAAATTTTAAAAAATCCTTAACAAAATACTAGCAAACCGGGGCACCTGGGTGGCTCAGTGGTTAAGCCTCTGCCTTCGGCTCAGGACAAAATACTAGCAAACCAAGTTCAATAGTACATCAAAATGGGTATCCGTCATAACCAAGTGGAATTTATTCCTCCAAGATAAGGATGATTCAACATACAAAAATCAATCAAGGTAATACACTAACAGAATGTACTAACAGAAAGAAGGGGAAAAAAAACAAACCCTGAACATCTCAATTAATGCAGGAAAAGACTTTTGGACAAAATTCAACAACATTTCAGGATAAAAACACTCCCAAACCAGGAAGGGGAGGGCACCCGACATAACCAAAGCTGTATATAAAATGTACACTGCTGGCATACTCCACGCTGAGAGATGGGAAGCTTTCCCTTGAAGATGAAGGAAGGAGGCAAGCATTCACGCTCTCAGCATTACTATTCAACAGAGTACCAGAAATCCTAGCTGCAGAAATTACCAAGGAAAAGAAATAAAAGCCATCCAAATTCGAAAAGGTTGATTTCATATTTTAAAACTGATGACGAAGAAAACTTTCCATTCCATTCCCAATCATTAAAATTTTGAATTTTTTTTTTTTTAACTTAAGTCATCTCTACACCCAATGTGAGCTCGAACTCACGATCCCGAGATCAGGAGTCACGTGCTCTTCTGACTGAGCCAGCCAGGCGCCCCTAATCATTAAAATTTTGAAGGCCGTGACTCACCTGTTCAGCTTCACATGCAGTATAATAACAGGCAGAACAGATTTCTCCGTATTGGTCTCCTTTTCCAGAAGTTACCGAGTATTTGTGGACATTAATATATGACTTCATGTGCAGTTTCTTTTACCCTAGCTTACAGAGAGCTGACAGCACACCCAGATGTGGCCCCTGAGCGACCCCAATGGTGCTGCCCAGCCGCACGGACACCACGGGGCCCACACCTGTGTCTCCCATCTACACCTGGGGTGAAGCCCATGGGGGTGCGCCCAATGGCGTCTCCTCACAGGCCCCAGGCCCCTGGGTCAGGATGAGGAGAAATCTAAGTGGGGACGGGATGAGGGAAGGCCTGAGTGAGTGTGAACGAGCACGGGTCAAGGGTACGTTAGAGATTAGCAAACGCGATAGGAAGGAGAAACGGAACATCAACCAAGAATGGGTCTACCTGAGAAAAGGCCATTCCGGACTCTTCTTTCTTTTCTCTTCCTCCTCTGAGTCTCTTCCTCCGGCCACATGAGTGTTTGAAGTCAGCCTTGAAAGTTGAAAATACAACGTTT